AGAAAAAGAAGAAGTAAAGACTGTTTTCCCATTAAACTTTCAACATAGAATTGTTTTCTCACATTATAGATATAGGATCAATACAGTATTATAGTTTATAATTTCCCCAGAGTTTTCATTTTTCATTTTTGAGAAAGACTAGTGAGAAAGGTAGAACAATAGTTCCTTCCTCCATCCCTCCATCCCTCCTTCCTTCCTTCCTTCCTTCCTTCCTTCCTTCCTTCCTTCCTTCCTTTGAAAATAGGTTCAAGTCTGTAGTCCATCAGTGCCCATCACATAATTGTACTTGTATTGTTTTATCAATATTTTAACTAACATTACATTAGTAAAAACTTGCTTAAATTGAAAGATTTTTATAATACTAAAGCAGTATAATACATGAAGAAAATCCATCCATCCATAACTATTTTAATTGAGTTCCTCTCCAACTGAGCACTTCATCTTTAGAATTTTGTGTCTTCCACTCAAAAAGTTCAATAATATTTATTTTGCCTTTGTATATTTTTAAAGGAAAACCATTCTTCAAAAAAAACATGTTCTTAACACTAAAGAAATAACCAACTGTTATTTACAAAAGTAAACTCAGAATTCTTATTTATAAATTACCATTAAAGTCATTTTAACTTTGTTTGGGGTTTTTTTTGGGGGGGGGATTAACTTTTCCCAACACTGGTGTAGATAGAACATTGTGTAAGAACAGAAATAAAAGCTGCAATATCTTTGATAATACTGAAAATCAGTTACATATTAATTTATACTGAAAAAAGGTATTTGTCTAAATTGGTTATGTATCATCAAATCAGTGTTAGCTCTTAATGACTATATCAATAGATTTTTTTTCCATGATGTTCTGTCATAACCTTGTGCCTGAGGTCTTTCAGCACCCATCACCATTGTAACCAAGTCCATCTGCCTTGCTGCTGGTTGTATGAATACAATTCATTGCATGTATATGAAATATTCTGGGATTCTCAGTTTCTTAAGTACATTCCACAGCTTGATACTGTTGACCCAGTCAAATGATGTTGGAACCTGGGTTTCTTTATATTATTCCTTTGATATATCAGCATTCTTAATAAAATGAATTAATTGAAATGATTGTGTGTTTTCTAATTGAATAATAAATTAGATCTGTCATTTCATAAATGTATTCCACTGTGACTTATGCTGGGGATTACTATCATAGGACAAATCAAGTTGGGATAATACTTTACTTAATCCTGAGTCTGCATTGTTCTTAGGAGCATGGTTAGCACAACTCAAAGTTACAACTGAAAGGAGTAACATTATGAGAAGGAAAGATAAAACAATAAATTTTCATTTTTATTGTTGATGAAGAATTCTTCAAATGTATTTCCTAATGACATTTCTTTAGTTCTCTCTCTGCACTCTATAGCCCAGTGATTCTCAATCTTTCTAATGCCGTGACCCCATAATACAGTTCCCCATGTTGTGGTGACCCCCAAGTGGGTGTGGCCACCAATAAGAGGGAGTAGGACCGCTAGGGAAAAGGGGAAAAAAATGGCGGACAGCATGGTTTGGCGACCCCTGTGAAATGGTCATTCGACCTCAAATGGGGTCCCGACCCACAGGTTGAGAACCACTGCTATAGCCTAAGACAGTGGTGGCGAACCTATGGCACGCGTGCCAGAGGTGGCACTCAGAGCCCTCTCTGTGGACACATGTGCCGTTGCCCCAGCCTCGCCTCCCTCCATGACCCCCTCCTCACTAGCAGCCCCCTGGAGAGGAGTCGCCCCCGAGCGTAGCCCACATGGAGCAGTGCAGCCAAGGACATGGCAGCCAGGCAGCATAGGCAAGGCTCTGCCCTCACTCCCCATCCCATACAGTTGACTCTGCGGGGTGTAGGCAGAGAGCGTGGCTGCCATAGCACTGCTGGGCTGCCTGAGCGATCTGCAGCGGGCCCTGGAGGTGGTGAGTGGCCCTGCGGGCAGATGGGGTAGGGGACAAGGTGGGGGATGGGCTAGGGGTGGGGCAGGGGGTGGAGCGGGGATGGGGTCAGTTTTGGGCACTAAGTCTCTAAAAGGTTCACAATCACTGGCCTAAGAACTAGTCCTTGTCTCAGTAGAGAGGATTTTATCCCTCTCAGTCAACCTCAGATTCACAGCTATGTTCATAATTACTATTGATAGTCATTCTCATTTGATGAAGATGACTTTAATGTTCCAAATAATCCGCATTGCTATAGTCAAAGGCATCCTTCTGTTAAGACAGATGGCTACTCAGATTTCCTAGTGACAGTAAGAATGCTTGGAGCCCTGGGCAGCTTAGGAGGCAAACAAATGCTGAAGGTATGAAAGTAATTAAACTTTTGTCAGTTACAGGCAGCAGCTGGGACACGGAATTGAGCTTGTAAACTTGTGGCCAGCACCTTTCAGGGAAGCACAGTGTAGAAAAGCAGTTCAAGAAAAGATCACTTCCAACTCAAGGTACCGAATTTGAAACTATATTATGACGCTGTGGTCCTAACATTGATTAGGGATTGGATGAATTTAACAAATGTAGAAATACTTCATTTGGAGGGTTGGGATTTACTTTTTGGATGGCATACCTATTTAATTTTTAATAAAAAAGTGGATCGGGTTTTTAAATCTCATATTATAAGGATTTCTTTGCTTAGGGTGTGGAGGAAATATTATAAAAGTGATTTTAAAATACCATTATGGGCTATACCTTGGCATGCGATAGAGGGGATAAAGAGAGGAGTTAAGATGGATACGGTTTCTTATACACAACTACTTAGATGGGATGGTCAAAATTGGCAGTTAAAATCTCTGGAAGATTTAGTACATGCAAACATTACTTACTCATGGTTTCAATATAGACAAATAGTGGATAGATGGAAGACGGATCGTAATATGGGTTGGCTTAGAGAAGATGAAAATCTTTTTAAACAAGTAAGGGATCAAAGACCAACTCATATTAAGAGGGTTTATGGGGTTTTAGTTGAAATGGATTCAGAATCTGAATTAATCAAAGATTGTATGATTAAATGGGCACAAAATATTGGTGAACCAATCCCATTGGATACCTGGGAACTTATCTGGGTGAGGAATGTTAAATTTACACAAGCGCAGAATTTAAGAGAGAATTTTTACAAAATGTTTTATAGATGGCACCTTGATCCACAAAAAATGTCTATTATGTACCCTGATCTACAGCCTAAATGTTGGAGATGTGGTTGTTTGGACGCTACTTATTACCATATTTGGTGGTCGTGTAAAAATATAAAAGCTTTTTGGATTAAGATATGGTGGAATATTCAAAGAATCTTTAGAAGGAGGGTTAAATTTACCCCACAATTATTTTTATTAGGTATTGTTACTGATTGTGATGCTAAGGAAGTTATATTGATGTTAAATTTGATTACAGCCGCAAGGCTGTTAGTAGGACAATATTGGAAGAAGGAATCTTTGCCTACTTTACAAGAGTGGTTTTATAAAGTTTCTTACTTGGCGGAAATGGCAAAGATTTCGGCTTTCTTAAAAGAGCAATCTCAAGAGAATTTTTTTGTTATATGGGAAAAATGGATAAATTTTATGCAATATAATTTGGATATGGAAAAATATCATTTAGCTTTTTCATAGTTTGTATAGATTGTTTTCTCTTTTCTTTTTCCGTCTTTTGTTTTCTTTCTTCTTTTCTTTTTTCTTTTATTTTTTATCTTTTTTTCTTCTTCTTTTTCTTTCTCTCTCTCTTTCCTCTCTTTTTTTATTTCTTTTTTAAGTACTTCTTTTTTTAATGTTCATGTTATGTATACTTTATTATTAATTATTTTATAAGTTGTAAAAGGTTTTTTAAAATTTTAAATAAGCCTATATTCAGTTCTGGGAAGTTTGGGGAGGGGGGGGGTTTGGGAGGGATTGGGTGAGGGTTGATTTGTAAAACTTTTAAAAAATTTTCAATTAAAAAAAAAAAAAGAAAAGATCACTTCCGGAAGGGAAGGGAAGGGAAGGGAATGGGTCAAGCCCAGGACAACATGTATTGAGTGTAATGGCAATCATATGATTGAGAAAGAGACTCTGTAAAGCTTGCAAATGTGTGCCTTGGTTGCAAAGTTATTTTTTGGCACCATCATAACTTCAAATGGTCATTGCATGAGGCAGCCAGTAAACGTTGTATTACACAAAGGTTCTGCAGACAATCATTGTGTTCTTAGCTTCCTTATGTCCTCATGGAAATAATGATCTTGGACATTATAATCCTGAGAACTGAGAGATTTTGAGAATTGGGCAGATGCTTGAAGAAATCTTGGGGGGGGGGGGAAACTTCCAAGTACACTTCAGTTGCTATTTCTTGTTGTTAACAAAATAGCCTCAAAAGTCAACTGTGTGTTGGGAAAGGAAATCATGGCCTGGAACATTTATCCCTGAGGGTATAGAAGAAATGTTTTGTTCCTGTGATTGGAATATTGATTATTATTTCTGCTGGTTTTTCTTGTTTTGACAGAACCAGCAAGTGAAGTATGTCGATGTTGGTGGATCCTATGTGGGACCTACAGAGAATTGGATTCTGCGACTGGCTAAAGAACTTGGGATAGAAGCTTACAAAGTTAATGTACGCGAGGCTACCCTCCTACATACAAATGTAAGAATCTCATTTGCTCTGATCACTTCTGGAAACATACATAATTGAATGGATTATGTTGTGGGGGATTCAGGTCCTAGGCTGAACTTTACTTATTCTGATTGTATGCTGTATTTAGCTTTGTGTGATACAGAATGATAATAAACAATGTGGAACGGGTTTCTTCCCCAAGATGGCTGCTGAATAATAAGAGGCTTTTTCTCTCTTGCCAATGATCTGCTGATTTTGCTGCCAAAGCTGGTTCTCTGGCAATGTTGCTCCCTGCATTTGAATAGGAGCACTTAGGAGTGACCCAGCACAACTTCTGGACAGTTGTGGACTTATTCTGGGAAGGGGAATCTTGAAGATTCTAGTTCCTTGAGGGAATTGTCAGAAAACCACTGGGCATATCTTAATCTTAATCTTGACAGTTCATTTTCTTAAACAAGACTGGGTTTTAAGTTCACTTTTCAAATCTTTTGATTTACTATGTTTTTTATCTTCAAAATATATTTTATCTTCACAGGTCAGTTGAATGCTGATTTATTTTATTTTTGGATTCTAGCTATTCTTTTTCTCTTTCATTTATGTTGTTGTTTTGAATAACTTTCACTTTCTGTAAGGAAACATGACGTGTTTTTGGATGGTAAAGTGTTTTTATTTGACCTCTCACCACAGGGTTTTTTGCATTTTTTTAAATTTGCAAAATATTTGGAATTCTGTTTTTTTTCTTAAATTTCTCTTTTAATCTTGGATTGAAATATCCAGAAAATACTTGTTTCCTGGCTAAGCAGCACAGAGTAACAATGGATCAAATTACAGACAAGCAAGAGTGTCTGAGATATGCAAAAAGACTTTTGGTAACACACAACAATGTTTTTTTAAAAAGTTTGATGAAATGATAATGACTGTGGAAAATGCTGTGGATAAATTAGGTCCACAAAATTCATAAAAGGAATGTAATCTGAAAGCTACAGACCTGTTGGAAAGAGATATGGATTGTATAAACTCAGAAGTAGCTGAGTGGATTGGGTATGCTTCTCTGAAAGTCAAGCCTGCACTCTTTTACAATAGTAGAAGCCTGACTGAAGGGAGAAGTAAATTGGTTTTCTCTAGGAGGACTGGAGGGGATTGGAGAATGGATTTATCACATTTAATCGGAAACCATCTGGAACTCGTTGGGAAGATAGACCGATTCTGAGGACTGAATTTATTATGTTTAATCAGACAACAATTGTTAAGAGATGGTATTAAGAAACCTAACATGGATATTTGATCCAGGATGAATTATTCCTAACTCTTGGGATGGTTTGGAATACATAAGATGCCATGGTAAATTTTCTACAAGTTGATCACAATAACAGTTTCTTAACAGAGGATTTTGAAACTATAACCTTGCCTTTTTTATTATTGTTTTTTCTGTTAACTATTTTGTCATTTTGTATACAGATGATAGGTTTGTATAACTATTTGTAAATCTATTTGTAAGTAGATCTAGCAGTTTAAAAATTTGGGGAGACTGTTTCACAAGGGGTGAGAAACCAATATTGTAGTAATGTATTAATCAGTATACAACTAGTGGGGATGATATGTACATAGATTTTTCTTTAATGCACCTTTTTAATGTCTTGTTTGTTTTGTGCTTTTTTGTTCATTTTTTAAAAAAAACATTTTGGGAATTTTGTATTTTAACTTTTTTTGAATAAAATAAAAATAGTTATAAAGGGAAAAATAAAAATGTGAAAGGGATGTACTCACAATTTAACAAAAGAAACTATGTTAAAATGTACCATTTCTTTTAAAACATATTTTAATAGTTGTGGTTCTGGACTTGGGTTGCATGATTAATGTCACTCAGCAGCAACCATAATCAGCATTTAAGACTCATCCTGTATATATCATCCCATTGTGGACTGGGAATCGTAGACTTATTTGTGAGTAGAAAAAGAAAGAGGAGTTAAATTGCAGCCAGCTCTTGTATCCGGGCTATAAAAATCCAGAAGACTACTTGATGGCATTGAAGAGCTACAGAAAATTCTTCAGATTTTTGCAGGCCAGATACAGTAGAACTACTTAATTGCAAAATGATAGATAGCACCACTGATTAAACTGATTATGGTCTCTAAAATATAATCAGCAGACCTGTTTGTGATAATAGTATTTTGGCTGCTGCTTTTTTTAGCTAGATGTGACCAAGCTTCTTTGGATAATAGCCTGCTGTATATGAAGGTTCTACCAATAATCTTTATCTCCTTAAAATAAGTGGACCCTTATTTATTTTGGTAATACATTTATATAGCTATGATAGATTTGTTGGATTATAACTTTCATCATGATAAGGATTATACTCCAACATTTCTGGAAAGCATTGATTTGGGAAAAGCTAGGCTAAATTGATGTCATGAGTGAAGGCAGAAGTTTGATGGATTTCTAATTCCTGTGTGCAGCTGAACTTGACTGGGGGGAGGGGGAATTACACATTAGAATAACATGAATTGAATGAGAATATGCTTCATTAAATCATATGTTTTTGCACTGTCTTAAAGTTATTATGTTCTAGAAGAAGTAAGAGAAGCTTTAATATTTTTAAATGCCCAAATCTTATTGTACTACATATCTGTTACATGGATATTGATGACTTGACAATGAAAATAGATTTTCCATGCTTTCCTTTTGCTAAAAACATTTTCTTCAATATTAGAAACAGAATTATATGGCCCCAATTAGTGGGTTGAAGTCCTGATATCACCTGCAATTCATGAACAAGTTGTTTATAAGTGTGAATTACACTTGAAAATGTGACTGTATCTTTTTTTAAATAGTTACGCTAAAAATTTCATTCATTTCATTTGACTTGTTTTCTCTCTCCATTTAAAAGAAAAACTAAGATAGGCAATTAAATTTTATAAAACGATTGTGCTTGTTTTATTATTATGACCATATTCAAGGGCAATGGATTGAGGCTATTGATACATGAAAAGAAAATCAGTTCCCATCTCAATCAGCAGATAAACTGTGCACATTTGCAACACCCTATTTATTTTTAGATTCCTGCTGAAGCACCATGGGATGCACCAAATGCAAAAGAGTTGGACAAAATTTCAATGAAACACTTCATCGACAAACATTGCTGGACAAAGTAAGTGATCCATCTTCACTTATAATGTCTTTACTATATATACTGCATGCTTCATTGGTTGTTCTATATTCTCTTTTTTCTCAAGTGGGAGATAACCAATTGTATCTCCAATCATATGTGAGAATGTTAGAACAGAGTTAAATGGAAGGTGGGGAAAATCAGAGGAGCTTAGCATTCTAGCACTTGTCAGCTCTACTTCCAGGTTAAATGAAGCCTGTGCATCTTCAGCTGAATGTGGTTATAGAAATACTAAAAAATGAAAAAGCACTGATGATAACATTGGAACTGCAATGGTCTTTCATTAAAGAAGGAAAATTCCTGATTAATGAAACAGCACCTAATGATTTTTCAATATATCTGTCTAGCCATTGAGTTTCAGGCTGTTGTTGATGTCAAAGCTTTGATCCGAAATAAAAATATTACTCAATACTGTAATCACTTAATATGTTTTGCTGGTGTTCTGCACATTCTGAACATAGCCACTTTGTGGTCATTTGTAATAGTAGTAGGATTAAATGATTTATTCTGAAATACTTCACATTTCAAGCAAAGAGGAGGCATGCTCTGTCTAAGGGTGCTTTTCCCCCAATAATCACATACAGTTTTTCGTTCCATTATTTGTATTTTGTTTTCAAATTTTCAACCTGTGATTGATGTGATGAAGGAAAAATTGCAAAAATAGAAATTTCTCCAAATTTGGAGAAAGTAGAAATAAAAAGCTACATTTCCCATAATATCTGAATGTATTCACACACATTTTTATTCGAAAATCAGGAACTATTAGCTGTTATCATTTTTTCACTTTGCAACCTGATTAAACATGGAGCAAAATAGAATGAAAATGGAAAATTATAATCATAATAAAATTTGGAGGAGGATTGATCTAAATCAAGTTCTTGAACTTTCAGTGGAGGTGTAAGCTGTACTTGACCTTTGAAGAGCATACCATGTTCAAAATGTCATTAAGACCAAGAAGCGGATGGTGCTAGAATACATATCACATTGTTCCCGTTGGGGCATTTTCAGCAAGGAAGATGGCAGATTTCTTACTGGCATTCTTTTACCCATTAAAGAAGAAGCCAATAGTTGTTTTTACCTATTGTTTTTACCTATTAATAATGATATTTATGATAAGCTTAATAAGACTTTATTTAGAAAAAGAATAATGATTACTTGGTAATAATATAAAACAGAATGTTCCCCAAAGCAAGGAGCATCGCATATTGCAGCTATTGAATATGTATGCAGAATCCATTGTTTCCGGGTTCTTGCTACTATACAAACCAGTTGCTCAGAGGAGAATCAGTTTGGGATACCATCTACTCCTGCATGAAATCTTATGCTGCTGCTAATTGTCCCCAAGCATTAAGTTATCCTTTAACATTTAGCAAAATGGGAGCATCTCAGGATATAGTATCTCTCCTTGTCAAAATAAGGAAATGCGCTCTTTATGGTTTTTCCATTTTATTTCATTTCTTAGCAAGATAAAATTAATATGTTGTGCCTGCCTTTGCATTGTATACAGAGCTGCTAGGGATTTTGCTATAGCTTTTGTCAAGATGAATGTCATTTCGGAGACACACAAAGCGTCTGCTCTCTGATTCCTGTGGTATGGGAAGCTGTGTGGGGGAACCACCAGAATCTGTTCTGTAACCAATGGGGAGCAGGTAACACAAGTGATTCATTTGTCCTTCCTTTTGAAAGTTCAAGATGAATGAATGTGATCTTGCATTTGTGTAATATGGAAAGTTTTAAAGCATAACAAAGAATACTTTCCAAAAAGTTAGAGTAGCTTATCAGTTGTGGAAACAGGTGTTCATTGTGGAAGGTCAAAAAAGTCAAGATGGAGACTGCTGTCTTGAGTTTCATTGACTTCCCACTGCAGACATCTCAATCTGAAATAATTAATGAAAATTTTATTTATTGGCAGCGTTCTTAGATTTCTCCTGGAATTAGATTAATATTATTCCATTCACCCTTAATCTGTTCAGTACAATATGGCTGTGATAGAATAATAATTATATTGTTTAGTTTCCATGGTTGTAACCAGTGTCTATACACTCAAAATTCCTATAAACAATCAGAATTTATTTTTTAAAATATAATTTTTATTACCAATTTTAATAATAACAGAGAAAACAAATGCAAACTAAATTTAGAGAAAGAAAATAGAATGGAAAGAAAGGATAGAAAGTAGGGGGGGAAGAAAGAAAAGAAAACTAATGAATATAATCAAGAAAAAGAAAAGAAATATATGAAGTGACCTCCAACCTTCATCACAAGTATAAACAATTTTGATAGCTCTTGACCCCTTATAGGTTTAAACAGATTCCTTTCCATCTCAGATCCCACCCCATATTTATTTATTTGCCAACCATACTTCCACCTGCTCCACTTCCAAAGGACTCTAGGTGGTATATACAAGGGTTTTTCAACCGGTGGTATGCGTACCACCTGTGGTACTTTGTCACGTGGCAGGTGGTATGCGACCATCCTAGAGAAGTGTAGCAGGAGAGGGGAATGTTGCTCTGCATTTCATGTTACTCAAGATGCTTTTCAAGTTGGTTTTATTGATATATTTATGAGAGATTTTTCTCATGTGATACTGTAATTGGCTTCTGACATTTTACCATCTTCCATGAGCCTTGTTTTCTTGTCTTGATTACATCACTGGACTATCAATACAATAGTTGTAGCTTTCCTCTTATATCAATATAAATATTGTATTAATGAAATCTTGAATAAATATATCCCGAAAGCTATAATATGCTACATACACATCAATATTTTTAATTTGAATGAAGTACTTATGCCACAATCAATAACATATAGCAAGAAATGAGTCTTTGACTTTTCTTAATCTTTTGTAAAATATTTCCCGAGAGTTGAGGGCGTTCTGAGGATATTATGTGTTGGCTGGCAATTACTGTTAGTGGAAGGAGCCAGAATGATAGTGTTAGTAATGGGGTTGAGACAGGGTCAAAACTGAGGTGCTCACAATTACTCACTTTGACTATTGCAATGTGCTCTATGTGGAGCTGCCCTTGAAAAGTATCCAGAAGCTTTAATTGGTTCAAAAGGCAGAGGCCCACATGATTTTATGCAAGCCTAGATATGCACATGTATCAACTCTCCTGAAGGAGCTGCATTGGCTGTTGATTTGGTTCTGGGTCCAATTCAAGGTACTGATTGTCACCTTTAAAGCCCTACGTGGCTTGGGACCACATTGAAGGACTGTCTTTTCCCACTCACATCTATCCAACCCATTAGAGCAGGGAAGCAGGAAATGCTACAGGTCCCCTCTCCTAAGAAGATACAACTAGGGAGACCAAGAAGAAAGGTCTTCTCTGTGAGGACTTCCTCCCTATGGAACATCATCCCTGTGAAAATAAAATTGGTTCCCATTTTAACTATCTTTTGCAAGGCCCCAAAGACCTGGTTTTGCCAATGGGTCTGGGGAACCCAGAGTGGGATGCAGCCTGTGAAGTGGCTTATTTAATTGACAGGGACCTGGGGAGGGTTATATTGGGTTTTATCTTTGTAAGCCACCTGGAGTCACTGAAAATGACTTGCAGCCATATAAATTTTCTTAAATAAATGAATACATTTGATTGGGACTTGAGCTTTATTTTAGGAAAGCTAGGCTGAGAAAGTCAAGGGTGAACGTACATAGAGCATGGAATACAGAATAGTAATAGAATTGGAAGAGATCTTGGAGATCTTCTATCTAGTCAAATTCCCTGGTCAAGCAGGAGACGCTATATTATTTCAGATTAATGATTGTACAGTCTCTTTTTGAAAGCCTCCAGTGATGGAGCACCCACAACCTCTGAAGGCAAGTTGTTCCATTGGTTGATTGCTCTCACTATTAGGAAATTTCTCCTTAGTTCTAGGTTGCTTCTTTCTTTCCTTGGTTAGTTTCCATCCGTTGTTTCTTATCTTGCCTTTGGTGCTTTGGAAAATAGTTTGATCCCCTTGTCTTTGTAGGAGCCTCTTCAATATTGGAACACTGCTATCATGTCTCCCTAGTCCTTCTTTTCATTAGGCTAGACATGCCCAATTCCTGTAACTGTCCTTCATATGTTTTAGCCACCAGCTGCCTAATCATTCTTGTTGCTCTTCTCTGCACTCTTTTCAGAATATAAACAATATATATATATATATATATATATATATATATATATATATATGTATGTATGTATGTATGTATGTATGTATGTATGTATGTATGTATATATATATATATATGTGTGTGTGTGTGTGTGTGTGTGTGTGTGTATGTATATATATTGTGCTGACCAGAACAGGATGCAGTATTTGTGGTCTTACTAAGTCTTTATAAAGTGGTACTAGAACTTCTCATGCTCTTGATTCTATCCCTTATTAATGCAGCCTAGGATTACGTTGGCTTTTTTGGCGGCTGCTGTATACTGTTGGCTCATATTTAAGTGATTGAATTAAGTATATGAGATCATCTTATACTGTATATATAAGTATATGAGTATATAAGTATATGAGATCATTACCTGACATAGGATTTTTTATTTTAATAGGAAGGTGGTTCGGATTGTCTTTTTTTTTTTTTTAAATAATCCAGACTGAATAATCTGTGAAGAAGGAGGAGAGGGAGGAGAAAGAGGAGGAGATGGAGCAGCTCATTTACTTTGAACTGCAATTTTATTTTCATTGTTTTAAAGTCTTTTAGAAACACCATAGACCTTGAAAAGGCTCAAAATAGATTGAAATATAGAAATGTTTTTTCAAAATCAGCAACTGTTCCTTGGTGGAGTATTGATTGTTACAATGTTATGATCAGGCTATATGAACTTTTAGGATATATGCTGAAAATATAATGTATTTAAACTATTTAATAAAGCCTCTTGAATAAAATCAAATAAAGCGTTTGCTGGACAATTGTTCATTCAGTAGCCAGGAAATGTGTCATCTAACTGAGCCCAATTTTTCAGATAGATTCTACCAGCATGCAGCCTGTGAAATTTAACCTAGTACTTTCCCCACATTTATGGGAACTCACTAGAATTGTCTACTCTTTTTGAACTCAGTGAACAAGACTAGCTTACTTTTAAAATAGATATGGTTTCAGATGACAACAATTAAATTGTAGGTTGATAGTCTGTTTTCAAAATCAAAATACCGTAATAGGAAAAAATAGCGCTTGCTGTAATTTATTGGATATAACTTCTGATTCCTCATCATGGGACTATAATATGTGAAAAGAGTGTGAGTTCAGAAAATTACAGATTCTCTCCATTAAAAAGTTGAAACAATAAACATTATTTTACAATTTGGGTGGAGGAGGGAGTCCAAATAAAACTTTTGTTCATTTAGTAGCCAGGAAATGTATTATCTAACTGAGCCAAATGGTTCAGACAGATTCTATCAGCATGCAACCTATGAAATTTAACCTAGTACTTTTCAGCTGATATGAATCTGCTTCTATGTAATCATTATTTAGTAATCTCAGTTTTAATCCTGCCAACATGTTTTTGAAAGTTTGCTTTATTTCTCATTGTGGTTTATTCTTACAGCCAGTGCATTATGAAGAAAAGAACTGGTGTACAGAACAATATTCTGGAGGCTATTATACAGCATATTTTCCAACAGGCATTATGTCCCAATATGGAAGGTAAAACAAAATAATAATGTTCACTTTTCTTGGCATTGTTCCCCCTCAGTTTTTGGATATTTGGCAAACTATCTGAACGATGAGCTAACCTCATATTTGAAAGAAAGGTTTATAAAAATAATATACATTTGGCAATAATAAAGTTGTAGTTAGTGCCTTTGACTTTAGTGCTGTTGAATAGAAGAAAGTCAAATGCAAAATCAAGGCTTAACTATAGATTATTATTTGTGGTTATGTTTTTGGAATTATGTGGAAACTGTTCAAATGGTAATGTCTTCGGGTAGCATATTTGCTGCTCTGGGAAAATAAAGATGGGAAAGAGGGAAATTAAATAGAAGGTTTCACTCTCTTTCAAATGGAGTTGGGCTACATTTACCCTTCAGCTATTCAATATTGCCAGCATCCCAGGCGCAGCTGGGATTAAAAATTTATTCATACCAGATTCGAATTGTGGTAAAAGTCTTACTATTTGTGCAAGTAGCAGCATGGTAAAATTGATAGCAAAGATGTACCATTTTCTTTCTATTCTTGAAATTCACTATCATATTGGATGTACAGTTTGGTTAAGTATGTGAAAAGCACCCCCCCCCCAAAAAAAATTAAAACACACAAAGAAGGATGTTGCAAAATGTTTGCGTTCCTTGAAACAAAACTTGACGAAGTTGATGGAAAATGTAAGATGGCACCTGTTTTTGTTCATAACATATTAGCTACAAGTGGAATTACTATCTCTCTATTTTATTTCTATGTGCTTTCTTTAAGAATAATACGTGAGCCCACTGACAGAATCTACTTTGCTGGCATTGAGACAGCAACCCAGTGGAGTGGCTATATGGAAGGAGCTGTGCAGGCTGGAGAAAGAGCTGCTAGAGAGGTAAGCATAACTGCTGCTATTGGCCACCTTCATGAAAGACCCAAATAAACTAGTTTTATTTGAAAAATGATCTGGGAACTTGGCATTCATACTTCCAATATTGCTGCATCAAAGAAAAATTAGAATGACCAAAGAACAATGAAATGTATACTAAGATACTCTGATCCTTTTTTAATACCTGACTGAAATTCCCAAGACAAATACCTGTATTGTACATATTATAGACAAATGGTCTCTTGGCAGTTTTTTTAATCTCTTCTATTCCAGTTGCATGAATAAAATTTGGGTAACAGAACCAGAATCAAAGGCTGAGAAATGATCTTCTTAGAACTCTGAATACTTGTCTACATATTGCCTGTGTACTTGACTGTATCACTCTCCTGTTTTGGGCCTAATGGAAGATGAAGATGTCTAATGAAAATTTGATTATGAACTTAAGAACAAATTTATTAGCCCAGTTTGTTGAGAATATATTTAAAGAATGTTTAAACTGTTTAAAGAAAAACAGTTGAAAATCTTTGCCATTTCTTGCAGATTTTACTTCTTCCACCATCTCACATTTACATAGAAAATGAATACAAATACATACCTTTGAAGTAACTCTACATGTTTAGGATACCATTGCAACTTGGTGCACAATGCATTATAATAGTAAAATGGAGAGTAGAAATATCATAGAAACTTAATGATTTTCATCCTATTAGATTTTAGATCAGTTGCTGGTACTAATAGGAAGTTTCCTCATGTGCACATTTAATAGATGGACACAGTTCTATTAAATAAATATATAAATTAGTTTGTTTAAAATAATAAAATCTGTTTTCCCCTTCCTTCCTCTAACTATATTTATATACATGAATAAATCTAAGTTCAAGGCAGAACTACTTTGCCTTTTTCCTGCACTGTTTTCATATTGCCTAACAAGAAAGGGGCAGGGGATAGAAACTGAAACCATATAAATATTTATAAATCTCACCAAAAACTGCTGTGGATGGCATACAACAATTGAATAAAAACCACAGATATAAATGACATCAGAAACAAAACAAAAATCTACATTAAGAAATAATTAGTATAAAGAACAAATATCTAAACCCCTGGATGAAGAGAGAATAAAAACAGCCACCTCAACTATCTAAGCATACCTCTGGTTCCCTGGAAGCTCCAGGCCTCATAACATAACCAGGTCTTGAGAGCCTTCCGAGAGATCAAAAGGGGTGGAGCTAATTTAAACTTGAGAGTATTCGTGTTTCCTAAGGTGAGTGCCTGGCAGAGAAAGCACATCTTCTGGGACCCACCAAATGTAGATCCCTAGCTGATGGTACCTTCTCTGCCTGATCCAATTGGGCAGGTTGAAATAATTGGAGAAAATGTGGCCCCATGCCATGAAGGGCTTTAAAGGTTAAAACCAGCACCTTGAATTGGACCCAGAAGCAAACTGGTAACCAATGCAGTGTGTGGAGTAGAGATGTAGCATGCATTGTTCTAGTAGCAAACATAACTTCTGTACCATTGCACTCTGCATTGCACAGCTGAAGCTTTGAGATACTCTTCAAAGACAGCCCCATGCAGAGTGTGATGCAGTAGCCCAAGGAAAAACTATAAGCATTTTAACCATCCATAGGAAGTATTACTTTACAGGATGACATTTGTACATACCAAGATGATTATTCCTGATGCTTGGAAGAGTAATGGTAACTAAGTGAATATGTGATTCAGAAAGAGACACACAGAAAGGGAGAGACATTGTGAAGATCACTAATTCTCTTATTCTCTTTCAACTATGCCAGCATAACTCTCACTCTGATGTGTGTTGTTGTGAGGCACACAAAATTTGGTTATAAGTGAACACATTGTTTGGAAAATGATTTTTTACTGCCATTTATTACCATATTTGCGAATATTTGGTAAATGAGGTAACCAATAGATAAGGTGTGGCTATAATAAACCCAATGAACAGAAACAAAATTGAATGCATTTATCTTTATCTGTAGATATTCCAAAGCTCAATTTTTTTATGATTAATGATGATGGTCCATCATCATTTGCCATAGTTAATAGATACGATTCAGTGAAATATGCATTTTACTTTTATCACTGTTTGGCATTAATAAACTAGGCATAAGAACTTTTTTATGTGGCATCAGTTCAGAAGTGGACAATAGATGCTCAACTGCATTTAAACAGTTTCTGAAAAAAGAAGTATATCTAAGAATGTGTTTTCATAGAATTAAATACCACTGAATTGAGGTAGGGTAACTTCCTAATAAAAATGTTGCAGCTTCAAGCTACTCAGATGCTCTAACAATTACTGTAAATATGTTTCATCCTAGGAGGTTCCAGCAATTCCAATTACCACTACATTTTGGGAGAGAAATTTGCCATCTGTTCCTGGACTGCTGTTCTTTCTTGGATGGTCTACTTTCATCACCTCGTTGGCTACAACTGGACTCTTGGCCTACAAAAAGGGACTTCTTTCCCGATAATGTACCGGAGCCAGAATTTTCCATTTATTTTCTTCATGCTATAAATGCTGTTCCTGAAAAAGCCATCTTTCATACCTTTTGGAACACCTGGGTTAACACATCCCAACCAATTTAATTCACCTTCCTTTAAAACATAAAGGGAGGCAGGAAAGATTTGCTTTTCTTTCTTGAGTGACTTCCTGCTTAAAAGTTGGTGACCTCTCATCATATCTTTCTGTGTAATATATACTGTAATATATTACAGTATATATTACACAAAGAACAAAGCAGGCTTGCCATAATCATTGTCAATGTTCCACATGCCTTTATGTTTTCAAAATCTTAGGACAAACAAAGTGAGTGCTGAAGGCTTACTCCCACTTCTTCCTTCCCCAGACTCTTCCCTCTGGTTGTGTTGAACTGCACTCTGCGTTGGTGGAGTTTAAGGGAGGAAGGCAGCCAACACATCCTTCAGGCACTGGAGGCAAGGGTGGGGAATGAGTAGGTACTCTACTTGTTAAACTACCTTCATATTCTGTCAAGGGCCTGTTAAATTTCGTATGCTGCTGTTTAAAAAAGTAAATGCTGCAAAAAGGACATTGCTTGCTTCATGTTAGTATTACATTCCCTCAAACCTTGATAAAACAATACATAATGTGAAAAAGGGAGTTGTGGACTGTGGTATTAAATTCTGCAATCCAAATACATTGACAAATATTCTTATACATTTCTATAACCTTATTCTTTTTCAGTAAATAACTGAAATATGTTTTCTTCCTTGTTTTCATTCTATTTACAATGAAAGCATTTTCTCTATCTTGTCTGTAGCTGGATTGCTAATGCATGTGGTTATTATGGCAGATGAAGAGACTAAATGCATCATGGCACTATGAATGTTATCAGGATTCTCTGTTATGTTGCACCCGATAGAGCAATGGTTCTCAACCTGTGTGTCGGGACCCCATTTGGGGTCGAACGACCATTTCACAGGGGTCGCCAACCAACACAGTCCGTCATATTGTTCGCCTTTTCCTTAGCTGTGCTACTCCCTTTTATTCTATTGGCTTTTGAAAGCCAATAGAATAGACTCTCTTGAATAGAGTCTAATTCTATTGGCTTTCAAAAGCCAGTAGGAATTGTCCAGGCTGTCTCTGCCCTTCTGAACCTGTCAAAAGTCCCATTCTGCAAAGGGTGCTGCACCAATTGAGTAGTCCTCGACTTACGACCGGTTGAGTAGTCCTCAACTTACGACCGGTTGGGGGTCGTGGCATTAAAAAGGTTGAGAACCACTACGATAGAGCAACCCAGGTTAAAAGCTTGTCCTAATTCCGAGGACCCACCATGCTTTGGCACGATATAATATGTTCAACTTTGTTTCCAGAATTATTTTCCCTTTTATATAAGTGGTTTGGAAAAGTTGTTGGCATCCATTTCATCCGTGACAATAGTAGTAGCTATTACAAGTATGGAAGTAAGTGGGAGAAAGGATGCACAAACAGATCAATGAGCAAATGCATGAATGAGAGCAGAAAAGAGTTTTGGCAAGAAAATATCCAGTTTTGGCAGAGAAACAACTCAGCATGTTTCCAGACCTTTGGCACAAATTCATTACACTGGCACAAATCATATGAAAGTGATTTATTTATTTATTCATTTACATAAAGTGAATTCCTGGATGAAAATGATCAGTCTCATAGTACCAGCTATCAAGTCTTTATCATCAGAGATATACATACAGTATAAAAATGGGAGAAATAAAACACTATAAGGAATTAAAAATAATAAAAAAGAAAAATAAAATATAGCAAGATTAAAACAAGATATGTAAGGGACACACAGAGACAGAATAGAAAAAAAATGACTAAAGTGAAAAAGTGAACACTATGCCATCACTGTTGGCATACAAGGAACCCTTGTAAAGAATTCCACTTAGCACTCTCCCCAGAAAGCGTTTTTTTAAAAAAATATTCAAAATTTATAAAGTGTAATTACATATCAAGAATTTTCTGAGCATCTTGCTGGATTGCATGTAGCATTTCAATCACTGGTCTTGGTAGATGATGCAAATACAGTCAGCGAGCATACATTACTGATTTTTTATCTACCTCTTTTCCTTTATGTGCAACTGGCATCTCCTCTTCCAAAGTGACATATTTGTGAAGTGCCCAATTTGCCCACTAGGTTGCAGCATCCATGAATCTCCCAATGCTGTAATGTATAGCAAAGAATCTACCAGTATAGAGAAAGTGGCTGAACCAACTTCAAAAATTCTGCTAAAACCTGTTTTCAAAAACATATTCTTACCCTTTCACTTAGTTTTCTAGGGTGCCATAAATCTGTGTTTTGTTGCCTCTCAAGGTCAGGTTTTCTGGGGTGGCATAGTTATATTAAAAAGGCAGCTTGGTGCAATGGTTATCAGGCATGAAACCAGCTGGATGACCTTGAGCCAGTCACACGCTCACAGCCCTGGAAAGGAGACAATGGCAAACCACTTACAAAATCTTGCCAAAAAACCTGCAAGGAGTTGACCAGGCAGTCGCCATGAGCCAACACTAACTGGGAGTCAACACTGGCTGGAAAGGACATACACATACACACGCACATACACACACACAAACACTCACACACACACACTAAATTGCAAGCTTTGTTCCTCTAGGAAAGGACTCTTTAACATTAGTTCTGGGTTGCAGGCTGTTTAATATAGAGGTGGCAGCAGCAGCAGACTAGCACAGTGAACTATAGCACTAGAGACAGCAGGTTAGAGAGAAAGAGGTTTGTACAGAACAAATGATATTCACAGCCAATCCTCTTCCTCCTTATTAAAAGCAGATATTTGAACAACACATACAAAATTAATACAAAGCCCCAAGTAACCAGTTGAAACTAAGAAAGTTAAATTCTAACAATATTTTTTAAACAGTTATTTAAAGGTAAAATGATAGGAAAGATAGATTCATCAGGGCAGGTCATTTGAACTATTTGTTAACTACTTCCGTAGAAGCAAGTTGCTACTTGCCTCCCTGATGTGGGAGGAATGTAAAGATGTTCCAGACCTGTAAAACTTCACAAGCTACCATCCTGTTTGCTAGAATCTGAGAAAACCATTATGATTCCATTTGAAAAGATCCAGGTAGATTTAAAATCATACAGTTCCATCCATTGATCTTCATTTTGATTCATGGCTCTGGTCTGAATAGGTGATTTGAACAAATCTCTAAGCCAAACCTTTGCACAGTCTTATTGTTCATAACATGCTTTGTATCTTTTTAATGTAAACTTTTTACAGTCAAAGACATACGGTACACATATAGCAAATATTGGAGGTTAGAAGTTAGAAGAGATTGAATGTTCAAGAGCTAATTGTTTTACAAGACTGTTAATTCTTGAGATTACGATCAACATTGTAACCAAAAGACATTGGCTTCACATTTCTGTGAAATGCTTCCATAGGAATGGAATGGTTAATCTCTTAAGTCCAGATTGATTTCATATGACTAATTGCTTCATATAACATGTTTTTGACTCAACTATTCCCTGAATGTTGTTACCATTTGTTTTCACTAGTCTGTGCATATGAATTCATTTTTGAAAAATCTAGAAACATGCTATTTTCCAGAGGTACGATGTACAAATAGAAGTTTGTTCATGCATACTATAAAAAAACCCCTAAGGAAATGGCTATTTCAAAATGGGGAATGTATAAATGTTGCATGTTTGATTATATTACAAATATGTTGCAGGACAGAATATATTGTATCCAACTTAACCAAGCTCCCGATATATAAGTCAACATGCATTTCTAACATCAAGAAGAAGAATCAGTAACTAATTAAGAAAAAATAATAAAATTGCCAAGTAAGTAACAAGGAGAGCATCAGGAGACATGGAGACATACATTTTGTGAATAACAGAGGATGATCTATGCCAGGGGTAGGCAACCCAAAACACTCAAAGAGCCACTTGGACCCGTTTCCCACCAAAAACAAATCACTGGGAGCCGCAAAACCCTGTTGATATCTAAAATGAAGATAACACTGCATATATCCTTTTTTACCTTTATTATAGGTATATATATACATATATATCTTATCTATTGGGTGAGGCACCCGGTCTACAACTATAAATTGGTCTGTTCTGCATTTAGCTCCAATCTAGGAGCATGTTTTTTACTCATAAAGGTCAAAAAGGATATATGCAGTGTTATCTTCATTTTAGATATCAAAAGGGTCTCTCTCTCTCTCTGTCTCTCCCTCCCTCCCTCCCTCTCTCTCCCTCTCCCTCTTTCTGCCCTTGGTCTGCCAGTCCTCTTCCGCCACTCACTCTCTCTTTCCTTTCTCTCTCTCTCTCTCTCTTTCTCTCTCCCTCCCTCTCCCTCTCCCTCTCTTTCTCTCTCTCTCCCCCTCCCTCTCTCTCCGATCTTCTGCTCACCTGGCAAGCTGGCTTCAAGCTGTTCTCCAACAAGCTCAGGGGTAGGCAACCTCGGCTCTTTTATGACTCATGGACTTCAACTCCCAGAATTCCTGAATCAGCATAGCTGGGCTAGCTAGCTCTCTCCTACCCTTCCTGTTTCCTGCTTCCTGCAGAGAGGCAGCAAAGGGAGGAGCTCGCCCAATAAGCTTTTCAGCTCCTCGGAGAACACCGTGAGTTCACTCTCTTTTTTTACACACACACACACACACACAGAGAGAGAGAGAGAGAGAGAGAGGGAGGGGGGGAAGCAGGGAAGCGCAAGTGCCTCTCTCTGTCTCTTTCTCTGCAAATGGCAGAGAAGGCTGGGAGCCACAGGGGAAGGTTCAAAGAGCCGCATGCGGCTCTGGAGCCGCAGGTTGCTGACCTGTGATCTATGCAAACAACACAGTATTTCTAATTCCTGCTGTCACCAGTGTTATATTTTAAATGGTACATTTACCGTAATTATCCACAGGAAAAGTGACAGTTCTGCTTTAACTTGCTCAACAAACCCATTTCATTGCTTCTATATGTAGCATCAGCTTATGATTGTACAAAGATCCTATGTTTTCTAACTTGGGTTCCTATTGCTACTCTTTTAATGCTCTTGAATATATTATGCTTTTGTACAGTCTACTTGTTCTGAAATTGCATTGCATAGATGTTTTGTGCAATAGAATAAGGAACTTCATAGATGCACTTAAATGACTTAAAATATTGACTAGCAGATGAGGAAAGCACAATAAAGGAGAAGCTCTTTTAAGAATGATGCCTTTTTCTGCATGATAATTTTGTACATGCAACCACAAATAATTATTTTAAAAAAGCATGCCCAAATTTGCAGTATCTATTTCAGCTTCTAGCCTAACCCTGCATCTCTTTCTTAGAACAGATTGTTTGGTCTCTGTCTGTTTTCCTTCCGTGAATGTTCAGTGTTTTTGAATTAAAGCAAGGTAGTATTTGCCTTTCAAATTGGCGCTGTAGCATGGCCTGCTGTATGCTAGCACTTTGAGTCATTGGCACGACCAGCAGTTTTATTGGCTAGGATCCAAAGAAGTACACAATCAGTTTTGTACATTCAAAAGACTTTTGGACTAGACTTTTTCAAACAGTCCCTTTCCTTCCTCCACTGTCACATGACATTCCTCTTTTAGAACAGATAACCTTTTACTGCATGTGTGTAGCTTGTGAAATGTCCTGGAGCTTTGTACTTTGAAGGAGAAAAGCATTTACTGAGCCTCCTTGTCCTGCACACTCTACTTTAAACTAGCTTTAGATTTCGAA